GGAATAAGTACACATTAAAACCAGAAAAGTGTCTCTCAAAAACTGACCTTCTTATTCTTTTCCCTGTGCTTCAATACCCAACATTTTAAAGATTGTTTCATATGAAAAGCCCTTTCATAACATAAGGTGTTATTAGACTTCACATAAACACTACTTCAGAGTAATTTTTGTACCTTTGACAAAGCTACTTCCAGGTCTCCACGAAACAGAGCACTTTGAGCAACCTCCTTCTCTCCAGTCTTCTTCAAATTATCACAGTGGGCAGCCCACTCCTCATAGCTGAGGATGCTGGGTAAGAAGCAATCACATGATAAAAAACAAAACAAAATGGCTTTCAATTTGTTTTTACAAATCAACAAATCAGTTCACTCAGAATTTTCAATTAGTGAAATGATTACTGCTCTTCTTATTTTAATAGTATATCATGTAACAGAAAACATGACAGTCTTCTAGCTATTTGCTGTCATAGTTTCCATTTTATGAATGGAAACTAATTTACAGTGGATGGGATAAAGTGCTTTAGATTCTGACTGGAAAATTAATTGATTAATCAATACAGGAAAGAAGACAGGATTTTACAGCAAATAATGTAACATACTCCTTTGTCATGAGCATGGTGTGACACTTGTACCCCACTGCTGGTGACTTGGGGTCAAATGAAAGACACTGGCCATTGAGTTTTACAGCTTTAGCTGTATCCTGGTAATCCGCAGCAAGCTTTTTACGAATTTCACTGAGAGACCTGAGACACATGAAACACAAAGTGAATATTCATTATAGCAAAGTTATAAGAATAAACATTCACACTATTCCAACTTCTCATGTTATTAATGTTACATTATTATACAGTGTGGTAAATAAGATTTTTTAATGGATTTTACTATTTCTGAATGTAAAACTATAAAAAGTCTTACTTCTTGGTAAAGAGAATTAACTGGACCATCAGTGGAAGTAAACATATAGAAATCATATAAAAACAGAACACCTTACAATAAAATATATAAAAATATATAGAAATATATACATTATATATACTGTCATGTGAAAAAGAAAGTACACAATCTTTCAATTCAATGGTTTTAGATATCAGGGCATAAATAACAATCGTTTGGTCTTCACCAACTTCTATAATTAGACAAATCTAGCTTAGATAACAGACAACACATAACAGATTTCACTATGTCATTATTTATTCAACACAAAGTAAGCCAAAATGCTGAAACCATGTGGGAAAAATTGAGCCAGGTGCTGCTAATCAAATCCACTTGATTAGTTGATCATCAGGAAGTGTGACCACCTCTATAAAAGCAGAACTTTGGGCAGTTTAGTGGTCTGGAGCATTCAGGTGTGTGGTAACACCGTGCTAAGGTGAAAAGACATCAGCACTGAACTCAGACAAGCAGCATCAATCTGGAAAGGGTTATAAAGCTATTTCCAAACAATTTGAGATACATTATTCTACAGTGAGAAGGATTATTCACAAATGGAGAACATTTAAGTCAGTTGCCAATCTTCCCAGGAGTGGGCGTCCCAGTAAATTCACCCCTATAATGCTCAGAGAAATCGCAAAGAACCCAAGAGCTACATCTAGGGATCTACAGGCCTCAGTCAACATGTTAAATGTTCAAGTTCATGACAGTACAATAAAAAAAAGACCGAACGACTATGTCTTGGAAGGGTAGCCAAGAGAAAGCCCCTTCTCTCCAAAAAGATCATGGCAGCACAACTTAGTTTTGCAAAGTTGCATCTGAACAAATCACAAGATTTCTGGAACAATGTCCTTTGGACAGATGACCGAGCAAGAAGGAGACTGATCAGAGAGGCTACCGAGAGGCCGATGGCAACTTCGAACGAGCTACAGGCCTTTATGGCAAAGACTGGTCATTGTGTGTATGTGACAACAATATCACAAGCATCCACAAATCTGGACTGTATGGGAGGTTGGCAAGAAAAAGGCCACTCCTTAAAAAAAGCCACATCAAGTCTTGTTTATGTTTTGCTAAAAAGCATCTAAAATATTCTGTGGCCAAGTGGCAAAAGGTACAGTGGTCAAATGAGACCAAAATCAAACTTTCTGACCGGAATGCAAAACAGTACATCTGGCGAAAACCCAATGCATCTTACCATCCAAAGAACACCATTCATACAGTATAGTACGATGGTGGCAGCATCCTGTTGTGGGGCTGCAGATGGATGGTGCAAAACACAAACAATTTCTTGAAGAAAACCTTCAGCCCTCAGTCAGGAAGTTGGAAATGGAAAGATGATTCACCTTTCAACATGACAATGACCCATCACAACCGTACAGTGGCTGAATAACAAGAAGGCGAATGTACTTGAGTGGCCTAGTCAGAGCCTCAACCTAAATTCCATCAAAAACCTTTGGAATGACTTGAAGAAGGCAGTCCATCAAGGGTCACCATGCAGTTTGACTGAGCTTGAACAATTCTGTAAGGAGGAATGGGAAAATATTCCTCCCTCTAGGTGCGCAAAGTTGGTAGAGATGTATCCCAACAGACTCAAGGCTGTAATTCAAACAAAAGGTGCTTCCACCAAGTATTAACTCAGGGGGTGTTCTCTTATCCAACCCAGTTATTCTACTTTATTTTTATTTTTCAGAGGTACAATTGTAAATAAAACTGGGGGAAAAGTCTGATTTTATTTGTCTTCTTTTGGGGCTTTAGAGCAATAAATGTGAATATTTTGAAAGGGGGTGGTGACTTTCTATACCCACTGTACATGCCTCTGACATGCCCACCTGTCAGAGACGTTTCTCTTTTAACATACTGTAGCCGCCACAGCATAACAGGAGAGTAAGTCACTGTATGTGTGTAAGAGCCCAGCAAGTCTCAGGAGCTCTCTCTCCCAAATTCAAGCAGAAAATGCAAAACTTTGAGGATGCTTAACTGAGTGGTAAAAATGGACAATGTCCATCTTTCCACAATAATGAAACCCCACAAATATCCTGACTAGAAAAGGTTTGGTCTATTTAGATGTCATTTTCCCTCCAGAATGTATACAGTTTATCCAGTTTCTCTATACAGAGATAACACTCACTTGGGGAAACAGTTGCAGTTGGCTAATAAAATGTCAAGTACTAGCTTCATGTTAAATTCAAGAAGTAAACAACAAACATCAAACAATAATATTAGCAGTGTGGGATTATTTATTTTATGTTATATTTAGCTCTAATTACAGATAATTTATGATGACAACATAGAGAAAATAATCTGAAATATTTATTTTGGGGTCATTTATCTGCTATCAAAGGACATCAATTCATGGTCCATGAGAAACCTTGGAAATACCTGAGAAATTGGATCTTTAAAGAAAAAAACGGACGTTGACAGGGAAGTGGAAAGAACATAACAGTTCCAAACGGAAGGAGACCACTTGCACCATTTTGCCTCTTTGGTTGCAAATAACAGAGGTGTTCAGTAAAATCGGTATACTGGTAAACTGCGGTTCTTTAGTCACGTGGTGTGTACTGTGGTACGTTTTAGACCGCACCAGTATGCTCTGCAATTTCAGTCAGTGGCTTTATTTTTTCTATTTTAACAACGATTTTCTACTGTTTACATTCATAAAATCAAATTTGATTCAAAAAACAAAATGACTGCAAAAAAATGTCATTAACTTTAAAAGAGTGAGTAAAAAAAGTTATACTAAAGGTATTTCCTGCATATCATTGGCTAGTATGTTCAAAAATATGATGTGATTTTTTAAATCACAGGGAAATAATTGCAGCTGATTTTCTTTCATCAATATGGGCACTCCCAATGACCCATTGAACATGTGCTGTTGTTTCTAGTTTTTCTGATTCTGCTGTAACTCTAGTCAGAAAGGAAGTCTAGTCTTGATCATGTTTTTAATTCCATTACTGCCATTAGACATGCTTTGACCTTTTTTCTTTTTTGCAAGTAAAATTGTCTTAAGCTGTTTAAGTCAATATAGAATGTCTTGTCTCAGCAATGTTTTAAACAAGTATTGAGGATTTTTTTAAGTTTTAGATGGAATAGCCAAGGGCAATCAAAAATGCTAAATATGTTTCATAAGGTTGTGAATGTCAACTTTACTCATTCTAAAGAAAACATGTGACAACTTACAAGCACCTGTCATATTTTGAATTTTACATTGTTATCTTACTAAGCAAAATTAACTTCCAATACCTCGTGAAAAAAGATTTAATCATTTAACAATTGACAAAAATCTGCATGTTGTTAAATTGTTCTGTTACACTGTTCAGTGTTATTGGTAGTTCTTTGGTTCCCATAAAACAAAACAACATAATTTTCATTATTTTGTATACAACTCAATATGCTTTACTAATCATGAAATCAAACTATGAGAGAGTCTTCATTTATAAACATGTAAAATAGTTTGCGGGAGACCGCAGTACGTATCGTGGTAAATGCATGTGTACCGCGGTATATATCGCAGTACGTTTTCCAGAGGCAGTACCCAACCCTAGCTACAGTAATAGCTTACGGATCAACAGCTTATTGATCCAAAAACATCATCATTCTTACCGTTCCCAACAGCCTCTTTTTGAATAACCTGACCAGTAAGTTGGTTACAAAACCCCAGAACATCCTTTTATAAAGATTCATGTCCCACTTTGTGTCCTTAATGTATTTTCCACTTAATCCATAACAATCCATAAAAAGTCCCATTACAGGCAAATGAATTAGTCATGTAGAAGTACACAATGCCATTCTTTCTCAAACCTGAAACTTTAAAAGAGTAAATGATGGGGGGAAAAATAAATGCGGCAGCATTTTCATTTTTTAAACAACTAACTCATAAGATAACATAACATAACATAACATAACATAACATAACATAACATAATATCACTTTATTAGCCCTATACAATTTCTTGCACTAAGAATTTGTCTTTTCGCATACCCCAGCTTGCTCTCCTTGAGACACATACTGTAGACACACATACAGGGAGAGAAGACTGCGGTCAGAGCGCATCACTCACTAAATACCATTACTTCTTGGCTATAATAAAACTCCATCATTGTATTTTCTAACCACAGCAAGGAATGGGCACAAGGCAGTGTACAACCTGGATGGGAAGCCAGTCCAGCACAGGGCACACAGACTTTCACACCAGGGCCAATGTTACAGAAGCCAGTTGACCTACCAGTACGTCTTTGGACTTCTGGAAGAAACCAGAGCACCCAGAGGAAACCCATGCGAACATGGGGAAAACATACAATCTCCACACAGATAGCATCACAGGAACTGAATCCAGGGTCCCAGCATTGCAAGGCAACAATGCTAACCACTCCATTGTAAAACTCTTCTCATTTAAAAACGTTTACCTTTTTTTAAAAACCAAAAACTATGAAGATGTTACCTTAATTGGTTCAATGAAGCAAAAATCTTCTTCTGAAACAGGTCTTTCATGCTCTCACAAAGCTCTTTCTCCTTCTTTAACTGGGCCTCAAAGGGGTCGTGGATCAGGTCACCACCCTGTCGTACATCCCGCAGAGTAAAACATTCCAGGACAATATTCAGATACACCAGCCTCTCCTGCAGACATTCCTCTGCTGCGATCTTTACCTGAAAACAGGGAAATACCTCAAATCAGAGATCATCTTTCTTAGTTCTGGAGATCCAAAATGCAGCAAGTGTTTAGGGGGATTCAAACAAAAAGTACTGAAAATTTGGCAGGAATTGTTTTCAATAACAATTAAGTAAACACTCAAGTCAATTAATTATAGCTCAAAAGCTCAGGACCAGGAATATGAAGCACTGCCTTAGATTTTCACAAAAATAATATTTGCCAGCTAAACCAGATGATACTATACTGTAGGTACTACATATATACAGTGAAACAAGCACTGTTTCACTGCATGTATATTTCTGTAAGCACACACTATTTCATGATGTAGGTGAAAAAGACTAAGGCACAAAACTACAAATAGAGGGAAATATGAAGCCATCATGAATACATAGGAAACACGTAGCAAATACCGTCAATGAAATGTGTTTTATAACAATAAAATGTGACAGAACTGTAAAATGCAAAGCAAAAAAAATCTCTAGAGTAAATTACAAACTTGTGTGAGAAATGGTGGTAGTGTAGATTTGTTACCATTTAGTTATTGCAAAAAACTCTTTACAAATCAGTTAGCATCAACACATAAAAGCAACGATTAGGTATGTATCTCCTGTTCAAAAATAACTAGTGACACCTTCTCCAAGCAGCCAAGTTCTCTGTCAAGCCTATCGATGCAGTTTCCTATCTGTTCATTCCACTGAGTCAGCTCCTCCATTCTGCTGCACAAGTTCCTCTGTGTGTTCCTCTGGACCCAGTTATTCTGTGAAGAGTCCAGGTCCCAAACTTTGTTAATGAGAAGCATACTCAGTGCGTTGAAGAATGCTGTTCTCTATTTCTTTCAAAATGATTAGTATGACCAGTTCCTGAAGATAGGTAAGATTATTAAGTTAGCCTTTTTATAGCAATTGACCACATAAATGGTATTGCTCCTTCACACTTCCAATAACTTCAAAATCTGTTGTATACATGCAAACATCCAGGGGTTTAGAGGGCCACAAAACTACATTTTGCTAACAAGTTTTTATTTTTCTAAACATAAATCACAATCCAAAAATAAATAAAAAAACTCCCCACTCCACCAACCCCTGAGTGGTACTGCCCTCCAAGCATTAAACCTATGGACACAAATCCAATTATATATGCTAATTAAATAGTGATGGGGCTGATTCAAGCACCTGCACAAGGCTGTGACTATGTCAGCTGCAGCACTCCAAGTTGCAGCCATCCAACAACCACATGCACCATAAAATCATATCAGTAAATCGCATCTGAGTCAAGTTCATTTTTTTGTCAGGATACTGCTGAGAGCAGACACCATCAACAAGCAACAGGCTGTTGACAATCAAAACATGGCAGACAAGACAAAGATGGTATAAAACAATATCAATCACCTTTGGCAGCTGTGTGCATGTTACAGCTTGGCATTTATAACTGGCATGTTACAGAACAATCTAGAACAGAGTGAAGAGTCCCTGTGTTTCCAGGATAAGGTGAACTGGGCAGGTACCATAACAAAGAGTACAGAATGAAAGCTGATGCAACAGTACAGTGCCCCTTCAGTTAATTTAATATAGATGCTTAGCGAATACTTAGCATTTTCAGAACAATGAAAGTAGGATCCCAAATCAAAACATCAGTTTGAAAAGATTCTAGGGAGTGTTTACCTGAATGGTGGCTTCTTCCATCGTACATTTTACATCTTGTATGATCTTATTGGCTGTATCCCTCAACTGTTCAGAATGTTTTATCAGGACCCGAGAGCTTGCAGTCCAATCAGAGTGTGTATACCTGGGAGATGGCTTCTCAAAGCCAGTTGCCATGGTTTGAAATCTCCTTCACAACAAAGTTGAGCCTTCTTAAGATAATTCAAGGAAAATCAAAGACACACAGGCAACATAAGATTCCTGAACTGCATCTGTATACCATTTTAAATCCAGGTATTTCAATAATTTTCTATTGTGCCACTTACTTTTGTTGTTATAACTTTCAAAAACATTAAAATAATGATTGTAGTTATCTTGCAGAAATGTTTAAATACTGTAGATAATCAATAAAACAACAAAATAAGATTTCCTTTGGACACAAAAAAAGAGACAAAAAATTAAATATATAAAATAATAGTAATTTTGTTTTTTATGTCTATTATGCAAAATATTTCACAACTGCTTACCAAGGAAATGAAACATAATAATTGGCTAATGTGTATACAATTGGCCCTATAAGGTATAAGGTAAAGGCAGCACAGCATTGCTGTAAAGCTGTCAGTTAAAGTACTGACAGTCTGTGGGATCAAGTCCCTGATGCAGACCCTGTAGTGGTACCTTCAGTGAGTACTTTACCCCAGTTGGTCCAGTCTACCCAGATGAACAAGTGTGTACCTGTATGGCTGCAGATAGTCCCTTTTATGGACTTATCTCATCCACTGAAAACTAATGTACTTGGCAACATTTGTTTATTTACTTACCACAATGATGCGGTGTAGGGAGAAAACCTATTAACGAAGGCAACAAAATTAGCTCTACTTAAAATAAGAAATATGAATTGAACACAGATTTAGAATATATTAGAGAATGTTTGTTTTTTCTTACTGTGACATCATCAGCTGTCACATCCCATTTATGACATCACACCGGAATGGACAGATACTTTAAAGATGGTGCACGGAAGCTTTATGCAGAATTAAGAATAAAACCATGTATGTTTTATTGTAAATTTCAGGCACATATATAATTCTTCCTTTTTAAACTTATTTTAAAAATATAAAAACATAAGAACAATTACAAACAAGAAGGACATTCAGCCCATCTTGTTCATTTAGCAGTTCAATAAAATTAAAATATTGACCAATGGTTTCATGAAAGAGCCCAATTTGTTGAGAAGCCTGTCCCACCCACCAACGACTTTTCTGGTTTAATGTGACCCACAACACACTAGTGCATTTTAAGTGGGAGACTTCTGTATCCAAATGGTTTTGATAATATTTAACAACCAATCAAGCCATATTGTCCATCCGGGTGAGATGCTTGGACAAATGGGATACTAGATACCAAAACTAGATACCAACTTTATAACCATCCTGTGTTCTTTGGGTAAACTATGACCTCTTTGTCCTAAATTAATACAGAAATTGGGCTGAGGACAGAAAAACACTTTTATAATCAGCTTTCTGACCCTTGTATAGTGAGAACCTACAGGCCTTTACCATTTCCCCTTTTACTTAACCTTACAGGACTTCTTATGCCTGAACTCTTGGCTGAAGTGACTCCATCCACCAGGAAGCTCCCACCTCTCAGAGAAAGCACACATCGTAAACAAACCTTTCCTATAAACTTGTTTCTAAACCTACAAAGATGGTGAACACTGAGTATTATACTGTAAGTGACCACTTTATTAGGACTCTAAAACTACCCCTTACCCAGGATTTGTCTCACCACAAGACTGACCTCGACCCAAATGTACTTTTCTCAACACAAGACTTTAACTACAATACAAAACTCCTCCTTCACTTTCGATGTGTAAACTATATATAGAAGAAATGAAAACAAACTGCATCAAAGCTAATCTTCTTAGCTAAATTAGACACGTTTTTAATGTGTTTTTTACATTCATCTGATGATCATCTGACACTTCTCTTACAAGCTCAGTGTAGTTAATGCTACAGTCTACTGGCAGTGTGCACAGCACATTAGCAGCACAGCAGGACAGAGGCTAAGCATCCTTAAATCAGCAATATAAAGCAATAGGAATATTCTATTGTTTCATCATACCATCCTATCAAATGGTATCCCAATAGCCCACTTAACTCCAGAAATTTACAGGATGTGTGCAGGGGTGCTGGCCAGACCAATTTCCACTTATCCTATGCTGTATTTCAAACTCTGTGGCTGAAGTGAGGAGTTAACTTGACCCATAAGCATATCAACAATGAACTGTGAATCCACATCTCAAATCCTGTTTGGGTTCAGTGAAACGTTAAGAGTAAGTTAAGAGTGAAGAGTCAAGAGTAACTTTAAAGAAGAGTCAACTTAAAACTTATTGTTGAAGTGGAAGAATACAGCTTGCTTAGGAGTGAGCTCTCTGACCCAAACGGTTCTTCAAATAGCATCAGAAATAAGATTTAATCTGCTGCCTATTACGCCAAAACCGACAGCACCTACAGTAACCAGAAGAGAATGCAGCTCTTCCCTGTCTTGATCCAGCCCTACCTCCTGACTTTCTGTATTTTCCCTTTCCGCCATTTTTCCCCTTTTTTTCGACAAGTCCGTAAACCTCCGGAAATCACCAAGCATCTGCTGTTGGATTGTGTGCCTGCCTTAAAAACGTGGTTGTCTGCCAGAGCAAAGAGCATTACAACACTGCCAGTACACAGTATTACATTAAACAAGATACAAGAAAGTAATGCTGGAAATAAAATAATTAAAAACAATATAATGTGTTTTATAGTTATTAAATAAATAGTTTTGTTATATTATTTTTGTCATTATTTACTACAGTATATGTTTGAAAACAAAGAAGGTAAGGAGCTTGTCTTATTTCCGCAAGAGGCAGTTTATGCTTTGGACATGCAATTAGTGTGCTTTTGCTCTACAATATTAATCAAAAAGTCAATCTTAAAATCTTTACCATTATTTTTTACTTTGAAGATATGAAGAAAAAATAGTATGAATGGAGTTCTATTATCCTCAAAAAAACATTTGAGGAGAAAACAGATTCTTGTGGCACTGCTGCCATAAGAATCTGTTTCTTGTAATATAATTAAATTGTTACATTTCCATTCGTTGATTGCTTTACATAATTAACTTAGGTATGAAGGGATTAAACTTTCAGTGAGTACATATCCATCCATCCATTTTCTAGCTAATGTATCACAGGGATGTTGACACGGTCATGGGAGAGCTGAAGTCCATCCCAGCAAGTAACAAGCTTTAAGCAGCATACATCCTGGATGCCAGTCCATCACAGGGCACAGACACAAACGCACCATCAGATTTTTTTTCCCAGAAGCCAATTAACCAACCAGTATGTCTTTGGATTGTGGGAGGAAACCCACAGTTAGAACAAAAACCCCACACAGATAACAGCCCCGAATTGAACCCAGGACGGTGAGTATATAGAGTGGGTGTAGAAAGATTGACACCCCTGGACCTCTACCTCATCTTGCTGCACAGCAACCTCAAACTGGCACAAGTAGGCTGTAACCTCAAACTGGATTTGTTGTATGTATTTGTTGTATGATTATGCCCCCATCAAAATATTATGTTTTGTTAATAATTGGTATTGTAAAAGACAATTTTTATGAAAAATAGAAAACTGAAAAATCAAGGTTGGGCAAAGAATCAACCCCCCGAAAACCTAAACCGTCAAGAATTAAGTGCCCCCCCTTTTGCAACAAACAAAACCCTAAAACCTCCGCAATAAGGTGGAAACAACCTTTCCTAACCTGGGGGGTTAAGTTTTGCCCAACTTTCCTTAACCAAATGGTCCAACCAATTCAAGGTGCCGGAAGAACCGGAAAAGAAAGGTCAAGTCCCGCCAAAAAATTTTTAAGGGAATTAAAGTTGGAACTTTGACTGTGCCATTCAAGGTCTTCCACCTTCTTTTTAAGCTACTTGACGATGGCTTTGAGGTCATTATCCTGGTAAAATATGAATCTCTGTCCTAGTTTCAGATCTTTTGAAAACTTTTCCAGGTTTTGCTCCAGGATCTGCCTATATTTCACTCCATTCTGCCCTATTTTGACAAGCCTACTGTCCCTGCTGATGAAAAACCACCCCTCAACATTATGCTGCCATCACCATGCTTAAATGTGGGGATGGTGTTTTGTGAGTGATGAGCAGTGCTCTTTTTAACCGCTTGGCATTAAGATCAAATAACTATTTTTCCACATTGTTTCAGAAGCTCCTACATACTGTACCTTTTCAAGAAGGGACTTCATATGAGCTTTTCAAATGGTTTTCTCCGTGCCACTCTACCCCATAGTCCAGATATGGTGGAGTTCCTTTCGGCTTTTACTTTGCTGATCACATTAAACTTTGTCCAGGAAATCTTTTCCTGAACTCAGCCCAGGATCCTCCTATCTTCTAACAACACACCCACACAGCTGAGCGTAACACTCCCATCTCAATTATGAGACACCGTAGATCTTGGAGGGTTGTTTCTGGCTTCTTGAATGCTACTCTGATCAATTTTCTTCTTGGCTGCTAAGTTTTGGAGGATGACCTGGTTTTTTGTAAGTCCTCCACTTCCTTATAATTGATTTAATAATACTCAATGTATCAGAAATCTTTTAATATCCCTCAATTGACTTGTGTCTGCCCACAACTCTGCTCCTTAGTTGTCGCAGAAGCTCCTTTGTCATATTGCTTTATATGCAATGCCCAAAAGTGGGCACTCACCAAACAGATGTATTTATCCTTACGAAGACAAGTGTGTTCAATCTGAATATGTAGATCAGATGGTTTTGGAGGGTTACCCGAACCTGCAGTCAATCGTGTACATATTCTGGTGGAATAGCACATGTGACTAAATCTTAGACCCTGTTATAAGCACTTTCGACCGCGAGACCCAAACCACATGTACTAGGATACTGAAACATCAAGACCAGGTATAAAACAGGTCTTGTGATCTAGTGATAATCACCACACCAACCCTTATATGACCATGTCCTCTGAAAGCACAGCCAGATTAATGTGATAATTAATACAATGCTTAACAACACAAATTCAAGATAGCGGTGAGGTTAATCTGTGTGAATTCAAATCAGTACTGCTTTGCTTGATAAAAATAGGTGCGTTTATTAGAAATAGCATTAATACAAACAAAGGCTTATGGAAAGAGATGAGGAAATTGGTGCAAATAAGAATTAGAAAAGTCCGAGTTGCTAAAATATAATTCGAGGCAAAAGGCATAAAATGATATAAACTCTCATTAAGGTACTATTTTACGCTATCAAGTATTGAACCCAAGCACAAGGTGAATGCAACCTATTCCTTTAAGAGGTGTGCAAATGAGAGAGCTTGGTACTGTATGTATGTCCTATTGCTTATATTCTGAATAGCGGAGAAGTAGGCATCACCTGATCAGTGGAGATTTGCTAGGAGAGGAGTGCTGTGACCCAGCTCAGGAGCTGATCCAGTGTTCCTGTGGAGCGCAAGTAGGTGGACTGCTGGCTGGAGAAGGTGGAGCAGCATATCGGACTTTGCTTCCCTGGTCCAGTTGAGCTCTTTGCTACTTTTTCTCCTTCAGATGCGGGCTCCCTTGGGTTTTGACGTCCAATCCCCTTGGGCTTTCCGTCCTGGATCTCACATGCCTATCTTCCAGCATATACTGTAACTTCCTCAGGCCTAACTTCTAGTATTCTTCGTGGGCCTAACTTCCTTCAGTCTCACGGGCCTGACTTCCAAGGTGTGGTTCTTGGCTTGCCCTGTTTATTAGCCTCAAAGACATTCCATTGTCTTGTCTGCCAGGGTTCTGCTTGGCCAATTCAAATCTGCAATTTGCATCTCTCTCCTTCAGAAATTTTTATTGTTTCTATCGTGAGAGACAG